ACGGGTTTACAACAGGGAGAACACCCCCTGTGCCGCAGGAGCTGCCTGGCACTGCGCTGAGGGACGGGTAGGCCAGAGAAAGGGAATTCTCCTGACTCCCTTTGGCGGTAAATCATTATGCTCCAGATGCGAGAGAGCACAGGCAGGTGAAGAGTGCCTTTGGCAGGGTCTGGTTCAGACCTGACGGTAACTTCATGTCACTTCTCCCTATAGACACGTAATTACAGCACAATTCCTGAGAAAGGCCTGTTCCAGGACTAGTGTCTAATTTCAGACAATCTTCCACTCCGCCATTCCTGATGAGGACTAGAGGATCCTCACTTTTCTAAGGTCAGTACTTCCTGCAATAAAGCAAATAATAGGAGACAAAAAAAAAAAAAAAATGCCCTTAAGAGCATGATGCTTGCAGTCCTTCCCAAAGCAGGGACTGCTGTTTGGCTAATGGCCTGCTGGCTTTGATTAGGAAAGCACAACGCTGGCGAACACAATCGACAGACTTTGCAATTACAAAACCTCCTCCCACTTTCAAACTGTGTCCCAGAGAGCTGGACCGAGAATTCCCCTCTGGAGAAATACCCCATTTTGTTTTGCTGGCATAAAGACGGTCAAATGCAGCAGGACTTACAGAAATCACACGCATCTCCTCACTCCATTCCTCATCTACAAAACCAGACAACAGAACCTCCCCATCGCACAGGACTGTCAAGGATAACCACAACAGATAACCTGAGGTCCTCACGTCTTGACGGATTAGGGCCTGCAACTCCTCAACAACAAAACAATATTTTAAAAACTCTTCTCATCCCATAGGTTGTGTAAACAAATTGTTTTCGTTCTGAGAGGGACGCTGTTTAACTAAACTGAAAAAGTACAGCAAAGGGAGGATGTGTCAACTCACATGGACAAAAGGCATCGAGGCAGGGCTACAACACAACGCCACCCACCCCAGGGAAGAGCTGGCCGGTCTGTAGCCCCCAATGGTCAGAGAGAGGCAGTGAATTACTCAGAGAAAAATAATCTGAAGTGCTTTTGGACTGCGTACAGGAAACCAAGAGACTTCCTAGTAAGCTGAAAAAAATAAGCTGGTCAGAAATATTACAGCTTTATACAAAGGAGATGTAGCAAAGGTTTCCTGTGGCCAGGGGGCCACCCAGCACCCTGCTAGTTTGACAGGCCGTGACTGAAATGAATCCCTTCCCCATCACAGGGCACAGAAACCCAGCTTGGCTTCAGCAGTTGGACTACCTGGGCACGGAATTGCTGTTGGTGTTGCAGGAGACAAGCGAGGAGGGGAGAAGAAGGGGAAAGGCTTCCCAAGGCCGAGCTGTGCCAGCCTTGCAGCACGTCAGAAGTGTCCCAGTACAGCGGATCCATGGCAGCACATCAAGCGTGTGCGCCTCCCACCCAGTGGAGAAGCGGGAAACAGCAAGTTTCCCCAGTTACTCCATTCCTTCAGTTTTTATCACGACGCAGCACGTACCACCACGAGCAGGCACCACAAAGCACCTTGGTGAAGACGTCGAGACCCAAAGCTCATCCGGGTAAATCAACAGGCGCACTGGAGGATGATCTCCAAACCCGGCTTCCGTGGTGCAGCTCCTGCCTGCACCCCACAGTGCCGCTCGCTCTGTCGGCCAACGGGGGGCCCTGAACATGAACAAACTCTGAAACCACAGTATTGACACAACGAACGGGCCGTTAGCACGTTGGCGAGTGACCCAGCCCAGCCTCCGCACCACGAGGCGTACACCCAGCTGCAGCCCTCGGTCCCTCGAGCACCCAGAGGCCCAGGCGACGGTGCCAGCGAGCAGGCGGCACACGGCATGGGCGAGGCTGGCTCCCCGCACAACCCCAGGATGTTCCTCTCCGGCCGTGAGGATGGAGGAACATCTGGCTGCACAGAGAAGGGCAAATCAGCCCCGGCCCTCTGTGGCTTCTGAAGGTATTCAGCCGTCCCTGAACAAGCAGCAGCCCCTCAAGGACAGATGCCAGCACCAGTGCACGGATGAAAGGCACAAGAGCACAGAAAAAATGTGCTTTTTAGCAGCAGATGTGCCATGTCATCTGTTGATGCTTACAGGCATGTTGCCTACTACAGACCAAACTGCAGTCAGCAGCTGCCTCATAGCAAAACAGGTCACTGACAAAGTCACTGACAAAACATCGACAAACTGAGAGAAAAAACAGACAAATGGGGAAAGGTTCCTTTTGACTCTTGTAGAGTAGGAAGTAAACTCAAGATTGGGCGTCCTAACAAAAGCAGTTTTAAAAAAGCAACACCAGCATTCATGTTCGAATGCTGGAACACGAGAAACATGAAAACGCCAAGATACAACGCAGGACAGGAGTAAGTAATGTCAGTATTTCATCTGAAAACCAGATGCAACGCCAGTGGTAACAGACTGTGGGGGAAGAGTTCAGATTTAAAAAGTAAAAAGAAAAAAAAAGGCCTATTGAATACAAAAGGCAAATGTGGGAGTCAAGAATTACAGCATACACTCCTGTCAGTCTGCGTAATGGCAAAATTAAATTGTCTGAAACGTAACTAAAATTGAAACAAGATCTAGGACAAACCATCATTACAGAAAAATCAATGCAATTGATTTTGGAAAGGCAATAAACACAGTCAATGGAACCACATTAATTAATGTACCAGAAATTTGGCATCTTTAAAACTACCAGTCTAGACACAACGTTGTGTTTTTGCGAAGTCCTCCATGAATTAAAGTCTTTGACCTTCTCCTCCCATCCGCTTCTCTCCTACCCCCAAGAGACCAATTAGAAATTCAGTGCCGAGTTCTCCATGTGAGCTGAAGAACACAAAATGCTCCTGAAACTCACTGCTCAAACAGAACCTGTAGCATCCTCTACTGCCAGAGGAAGGACTTTGTAAACACACACGTCTACGTAAATACCCGTCCATAGTCCTTTCCAAAACTCAGCAGCTGTGCCACACTGAGAGAAGTGAATTTACATGTTTCTCCCACGCACTTGGGTTTGCTCGTGCTGAGGTGAGAGAAAAAGTTAAAAATAGTGCTTTCACCCAGAAGCAATCGCCCTGGAAGCTCTCTGCAGGATCAGGGCCAGCTTTAAGAAGCGAACCACATTCGCATACACAAGGTAAGCTGAATCAGCCCGCTGCACGGAAATACAGCATCAGGGTGTTCGAACCTGATGTGCTCGAGAGAGTATGGGAGCTTTTATACTTAGTAGAACAATTCTGTATTTAATTAGGCCTCATTAGTAAAGGTAGTCACTGTAATTTATTTGCACCAATACAGGAGACCACACTCCATCAGCTGGTCACGTTCTTCATTAAGAGAACCTTGTGCGCCAGGGCAGGGGGCTGCCAATTCAAAGAAACCAGAGTAAAACATTTTGCTAAATAGAATCAACTCACCACTTCGATTTGGGATGATGGTTTGTAATAACATACCAAAGCAGAAAATTATCTGGGCTCTTGAATTTGCTTCTGGAAGGAAAATCAATTTTCTTAAGTGTGTCTGTGTGTGTTTTAAAGTTCATGGCAACAGCCAGTTAGAGCACATGATGCCGGTCAGATGGTAACAGCCAGTTACAGCATATGACGCAGCTCAGAACAGTTTTGTGCATCAGTGTTTGATTCTCAGAGGCTTCACTCACCCGACACTTCCCGCAGCTCCCAGTGACACCAGCGCAAGCTGGCTCTGGCCAGCAAAGAAGGACCCTGTCAGTAGCTTCTAGCGGCACCAGGAAGGTGTTTTTAGGAGAACGTGCAGACCTAAGGGAGGAGTGAACAAAAACGGGTACTCAGCCTCTGAAATTACTCGTTCAGGTCCCAGCAAGATGAAACTTCCCTTTGATGCACTCGCACATCTGGCCAGAAGGTGCCAAGGGAACGCCCCTGAGCAGCCCTTCCCCTCCTGGGGCCTACGAGCAGATGGTTCTGCCAACGGGCCAGGTGAGCATCGGCCCACGCCTGCGGCGAACTCGAGGGAACGGAGCCCCTCGCCCCGACCCGCTGCAGCACCGGGCGTGACGAACCAGCGCTTCGTCAGGGCTGCTCATCCCCTGGGCGGGGCAGGGCACAACCTCCCCTCCCCACTACCAGTTACAATCCGTCTGTGCCCCTTTCTGGCCTGTTTTAGGAATTACAAAGTGCTAATGTGAAGAACGACCATTTTTGCTTTCCCACTTCTTAGACCCACAGGACTCATGGCAAGCGGCTAACAGCACCAACTGGGTCATGCTTCTCACGTCCCATCACGTATCTGCGACTGAAGCAAGTATCAAATCCACCAACCGAACACAGCCTGAACTACGATCTTGCTTCAATACTAAAGTTTCTATTTTAATAACTGAACTCCATTAAAAAAACAGATCAGAAAAATCAAAAACCTTTTTCAAAATTTAAGGAAAATTTAATCAATATGCCTTAAATTATTTTACAGTAACTACAATACTGACAAGCATAACATTTTCAAAACGGTGTTTTTCTTGGAAGTACTGCAAAAGAGATTACTCTTCGTCTACTAGTATATGCACCATTAGGAAAAGAAACTCTAGCTGAAGTCATCTTCAGAAATCCAAGTTAACACAGAGTTACTCAGACATCCAAACATGTTCATATTTCAAGTGTGACAGAATTACAGATCCCTTCAACTTTTAAGCATCTGTTTTCTAATCGATAATTTAAGTATCTTAAACCCTGAAATACTATCCCATCAAATGAACAAGTAAATGAGACCAAAGATCTTAAGAGTATATTCATTAAAATACAGAAAATACTCTAATCACTTGTGCTCACTTGTGCATTTTATTTTACTAAGAGGGGGCAGGAAATCGGTTCCTTAGTACTGCAGATCGATTCACCGAGCACCCCAAAGCTACGGCATCTGCAGCTCCGTTAAATGGATAGATTTTTACCCAAAAAAGTTATAACTGCAACTCTTCTCCCTCCCTCACTCCCCTAAGAAAAAAATAAAAACAAAAAACGAACACAACAAACAAAACCCACAACCTTCAAATAAACAACCAAAAGGTACTTTTCTAAAGATACAGGAATGGGAAAGAGGTTACACGAGTGTGACAAGCCTGGACACTTATTAAAGCTATAGACACCTCAGGTCAATTGAAAACAGTACTCAAAGTCCTAAAAAAGTGTACATGAGACATTGTTTTCATTGTTCCAGATGATTCAAAACAGGTTTAAGTTTTGTGATAGCCACACCATAGAGTTATCTGCAGCCGGTTCTGGTCCAACCAAATGTTCCAAGTCGCTGTTCTCAGTTTGGCCCACAGGAGTCCAACCCTCTGGACAGTCCATTCAGAACACAGAAATGAGAGCAAAGACTCCGTACAACAAAGCACAGGGGTATGCTACTAGAAGTTGTTGTCCTTCCATTGCTAAGGCAGAAATAAAGATTTTGGAAGCAGAAAAGCTGCACCAGCCAATGATTCCAGCTGTGAGAATAATCCCCATCATTCCCCTGCAGAGACAGAAATCAAGAGAGAATTAACACAAGACTCATGCCTATGTGCCTGTAGGAGTCATCACTGGACTCCTCCTAATACCTTTTACAGATTCTAAGATAAATTTCAGCTTTTATTTTTTTGACTTTTTACATTAAATAGGTCCAGTATAGACTTCAGAAGGGTGTTACTCAATTATGACAGCATAAAAAAAAAAACCCAAAATTAACTTTGTGCACGTGAAACGTAAAAGCAGCGAGTAAAGGAACTATAGGAAGTTCACTCTCGGCCCCCACTTCCATATATAGCAATGGGGAATCCCATTATTTTTTTTCTCTTTGTCAAGTTCAAATTTGACCTTCAATGATCATTACTTCTAGAGTTCACAGGTACTGAGATCTCTCAGATTCAAAGCTGACTGAAAACAAATTCGATCTTGTTATTTGAGGCTATGTATCTAAAAGCTATTAATTGACTTGCAGATAAAACCAGTATTCACCTGCCTTTCATCCAGCAAATACCCGAAGACCGGTCGTATTTATGTTTCTGCACTTACTACAAATTCCTGCCGTATCCAAATTATACGCAGCTTCATGAAAATTCCTTTCCGTAAGTTCCTTCACCACCCCACACGAGAGGCATCTACTACTGAATGAGGAAGTTTATGTACTTACTGCAACGAAAATACAATCGCGAAAGTGGAGAGCAGGATCATGGGAAGGAGACAGTATCCAAGGACACTGGCGACGCAGCCGAAGGAGACGCCCGTCATGCTCATCAAGTTCAGGAGACAAAACATCCCCAAACAGCCGATGGCACTGATTCCATACACGTACCCAAACTGGATTTTGCCTGCCTGAAAGCCAAGCAGAGCAGCGCCTGTCAGCTCCCGGCACGAGCAGGGACGAGGGAGGAACGTTCACAGAGCACCCTCCTCCTCCTCTCCCTCGCCCCCATCCCCAGTTCCTAGACCCAAATGCTCCAGGCAGTACTTCCCACAACCCAAACTCCAGGACACCTATATGTAAGAGGCACATTTCTCCTAACTTTACCTATCCCGATGGGCAGATTTTGATCGAATTGTTATTCTTTGGTCTGGGCTGCAAAAGCTCTAAAATGCTCTAAACTCCAGGGTTTACCCAACCAACTTCTCCTGCCAACCAATTACTTGCAATAATAATTTTTACAGAACTAGTGTATAAAGACCAAAAAATGGTAATTCAGGAACTTCTTGACAAATCCAGAGCAAAGTCCTTTAACTCGTGGCAAGCTCCACAACGTAAATTACAGAGAGTTCCCAGGAAGACCAGAGGCTGAGCTGCAAAGCAGCGTGTGTGAACGGCAGAACTCACTCAGGCAGATTTTAAAAAAGCCAAAATCGGAGCTTTGCTCACTAACCAGCACGCAGAAGGCACACCCACGGGATGTCACCGAGGAAATCAACGCTCCCCTCACCCTGCGGAGCACAGGACTGCACCGCTGCTGAAGCCACGACGCTGCACAGCTCCCAGCTCTGGCTCCCACTACTGACTCCCAAACCCAGTTTCCTCACAGCCCAGCTCTCTCCCTCCTCGGGCGCTCCAGCAAGCCAGCAAACCTGCTCTCATCCTTTCGCCAGGCTAAGCTTGGTTTCTTTCACCGCTCCCAATGTATTTAAAAATAAAGCCCACAGGAGAAAGTACCGATTTCTTAGGAAAAGAACATTCAAATGTATGTTACAAACATGCTCAGTAATTTTACTGGCCTAGTTTCCATGAATAAAGGTTACTTATAAAAGTAGGCTTGAAGGCCCCTTGGCACCAAACCACTGCGTCGTAGCCATGTGAAATTTAGGCAAAAATGAAACGCAGTGCCTGAAGACATTTAGAGAAAAGAACAGATTAAAAAACCTGAAGCTTTCAATGGCAAGAAAGGCTGTTTGCTGCCATTCTGTCATTTCATAACCGACACTTTCGAGTCATTAAGGCTCTTACTTCAATTAAGCCTAACCAAAAAAGGCACCAGGCCTCAACAGCTGCTGCCCTATTAAGAAGTATAAACAATTTGAAAGCAGGTTTACTTCAGAAGTGTTTTACTAGACTGAAAGTCATGCCTAGTGCTTATGAAATCACTTTTTACACATGAATTTTGAGTTTCCTCGACTCTTGATTATCATTAAAGAACAATGAATAAAGAGTATGGAGCAAAGAAACACAACTAAACAAAACAAAGAAATAGACTCCAACATTAAACACAGTAAGAGTTAAAAATTAAAAGAAACTCCTAAATGAAAACATGAAATAAATACTCCAATATTTAATGTCTCCATTCTTCTGACTCCTGGCAAGACACAAGATAACAGAGGTGCTGCAAGAAGCCAAGGCACGATTCTGACAGTGAAGCATCTCCATCTGAATTACACCGAAGTAACTGCCACGCAAAAACCAAGGACAAAGTCGTGGACTCAAACCCCACTGAAGTGACGGTGAACTGAATTTCAACCAGCAGTGACACCCCAGCTCCTCTTCCACGTAGCTACGAGCTCGTGGTCAGGATGTGCCTTCTGGGCCTCCATGCCAAGAAGTCACTTCCAACAAACCTGTGGGTAACTTGGCATTTGCCCCAGCGTTTCCAAGAATATTAATACACAAAGAGTGACATTTTGCAATTGGTATCTTACCAGTAACAACGTGGCTCCAAAAGCTAGACAGAAGACCATGGGTCCTGCCAAGTCAGTCTCATTCATGATGCTGCCATCTGCCACTTTCAACGGGTGGAGCACTGTTAGTGTCTTCTGCCAGATGTGGTCAAAGTTGATCCCCAGTTCTACAAGCCACATGAAAAGCATTATGTGCATTTATTCCATTCTTCCCCCTTCCTGTCGCCCCCGTTCGCTTCACTCAGCTCTCCCTGCCCCTCCACTGTCACGTCTCCTCCAGACACCATCCCGTGCGGACCAGAGAACCGAGGCAGCCCCTCATTCCTCAAGCTGCTGAGTGCGCTGCCTCCGCAGATCCTGGGTCTCAAATGGTCGGAAGTGACAAGGGGGTTTCCGAAGGAGCAGGCAAGAGCGTAGGCGCCGCGTTCTGGGGCAGCCCAGAGCCCTTCAGCCCCGTCCCTGCCCCTCCGAGCGCCCCAAAGCAGACATGGACAGAAGAGCACAAGCACAGAACATGCAGGTTCCCCAGGTCGCCGATGGCTGGCGGCTCGGGGATTTCTAACTCAAAGCAGTTTCTCTGCACTTAACCACCCTCAGCGGATTTCTCTGTCAGAGGCCAGTGAGCCCTTTAAAAAGCCCACCCACCCCCCAACACTCGGGGTCTCACGACAAGGAGTTTCACATCTCCATCCCCACAGTCTGAGCACAGCCGTGTGTCAAACCCTGCCCACCTCAGGCTCTGGGATGCGCCGGTGTAAACCAAGTAATTTTTTGAAGAAAACACAAACAGCACAGCAGAGTGGAAGGCATCGTGAATACGTACAGGCAACAGGTATCACAAATACCCCTCTCTCTAACCAGCAACAGAAAGGGTTTCTTTGGGTGTTTGGACTGAAGAACAGTGGGTACAAGGTGGGAACTGAAACCACCAATCCAGACACCAACTACATCCCCGTGCTGGCACTCTGCACAGACTGTGCTCTGCCGAGGAATTTCTGCAGTGTTCAGCATTCCTCTTCAGCAATGACAGATTTCCATTCTGACCAAAGAATCAACTCAAACTAACTGCCTCCACTTATTTTACCAAAAAATCACATGCATCATTCGCAGTAACAGAAACAGCGTTTTGTCGTGAGAGCTGTACGAAGTGAGGTGCCCCACTTGACTGACCAGGTCTTCCACAGAACCGTGGTGTGACGGAACAAAGCACAATTCTGAAACTGCAGAACTTCACAGAAGAACGTGCATTTCATACACCAAAGTACAGGTGAACAACAAAAAAAAAAATTCCTAAGAATTTCAAGTCAGCTGTGCACTTTCAGACGCAAGGAACACACACCCTGCTACTCAACCTACCCCCAGACTGGGAGTTTTGGATTTGGGCCACAAAGTATAAGTTATACTTTCTAACACAGGAAAAGCATAAGTTGTACCTTCTAACAGAGGAGGCTCATCCTCGAAATTACTTCCATAAAAAGACTGTGCTGAGGTCGGAGTGTACGTCTGCGTGGGCTGGTAGATCTGCCCCGTGTAGGGCTGCTGCTGCTGCACCATGTCCGGGGGCACAAACCCGCTCTGCTGCGAGTACTCGTAGCCTCCATAGTGCCTGCGGAGAGCAACCGCGCGTTAGGGACGGGCACAGAGCTCTGGTTTAATACCTCTCGGCAAAAGCAAAGCTGGTTTTCAGCAAATGCCTCGCGGCAAACAATCCTTTCCTCTTCCTTGACAGGTCCCATTACACGATGCCCTGCTCAGACCCCGGCCGCCCAGGCACAGAGCCACGTCCATCAGTTCAACCCGTGCCGGCAGCACTGCCCGGCCAACCGCAGCCGCTCATGCTGCGTGTGCCAGCGGGGGCTGCTGGTCTGGAGCAACGAGCGCTGCCCAATGCCTGCACCACTGCTAGAGGCTGCAGACCTGGGAGAGCAGGAAATTTCACACCTCCAACTTATTCAGATGTTGCCCGTTAATTAGGACTGACATCTCATCTGATGGCAGCACTAATCTGCTATGTAGAACGTTTAAGTGCAGATTCACTGCTGAAGAAGGAAGCTGTTACACTATCACTTTTGTTCCCCTCCAGATTTTAAGAATGAAACTCAGCAAAAAAGAAAAAGCTGTTTTCCCCTTCACCACGCGTGTCAGGCAGCATCACGAGACACAAAGAGGAGCTACGATACGGACATCAGACACCTTGTGACATCTACCTACAGTACGTGATGCAGGGGGGAAAACGGGTGATTTTGCAGTTTCTATTCCATGTGTTCTCAGTTATTTACTAACAACTCAATTTATCCTGTCCTTGGAATACTTTGTGTTATAAATTTTAGATGGACAGCAATATACATTGCTACCTTTAAATAAAGCCAACCGAAGCCACTGTTGCTCCTACACAAACTCATTAAGCTATTCTGGCCCCTGATCATTTCCAAGTTTGACTACAGGTTTCAGTAAATGCCCCTAAAATATTTCACTATGGAAATACAAAGAATGAAACCCCAGAACTCCTTCTCCTTTCTCCCCTTCTATTAGTAGTGTTCAGCCTTGTCACAGCCCGGGAATCACTTTCAGGACTTGACCTGCTCCACTTCTCGCAGAGATCACAGAGGTCACATAACCGACCAAATCCCTCAGCCTGAGCCTGGATCTTCACACGGGACTCCCAAGAGCTCCCCTAGCCTAGGAACATCCGCCCCGCTGCCCTGCTGCAGCCCAGGAACCCCTGCTGACGTCACAGGCTCATTTATGTAACACTGGAACTGATTTTTACTCCCTGAGTGACTGGAAATGGACTTACAGAACAGATATTTCTTTTCACAAAGATGCGAAGGCTGTTCATATAATTAAGACTGCTTATATAATCTCTCCTTCAATTTTCTAAACTTAGCCTTAAAGTATTCAGAGTATTCAACATGCAACTGCCCTGTATCTCCACTTATAGAATACAGATTACGACCCTCATAAAACAGAGCAACAGGGATTCCTGTCCAGGCAACAGCAGCTGGCTGAAATGTCAACCCTCTGCTGAACAGACTGTCCCAGGAGTATCTAAGCCAGGCCTGGCGGCTGAGGAGGCCCCTCGGGACAGCTCTACAGAAGCCACACGAAGCCCAGAGGCCCGCAGACTCACTTGCCATACGGCCGGCCGCTGTAGTCGTAGGGCTGCGCCTGGTCATCGATACTGTAGCTCGTCTGGAAGAAGTCTGTGTTGAAGCTGTCAAACCCGGACATCGCAAGGGATCTGCAAGAGAACAGCGAGGGTTGCTGGGGGCGCCCCAGAGAGCCCGAGCGGCTCTGCCCTCCCTCCGGGCCGCCCCGA